ACATCCTGGAGTGTGAAGTCAAGTGGGCCTTAGGAAGCATTACTGCAAACAATGTTAGTAGAGGTGATGGAATTTGAGCTGGGCTATTTCAAATACCAAAAGATGATGCTGTTAAAGTGAGCACTCAATATCTCAACAAATTTGGAAAACTCAGCAGTGGCCACAGGACTGGATAAAGTCAGTTTTTACTTCAATACCAAAGAAGAGCAATGCCAAACAATATTCAAACTACTGCCTAATGGCACTCACATCACATGCTAGCAAGGTCATGCTCAAAAACCTTCAAGCCAGGCTTCAATACTACTTGAACCAAGAACTTCCAGATGTACAAGCTGAATTTAGAAAAGGCAAAGGAACCAGACGTCAAATTGCCAACATTAGTTAGATCGTAGAAAAAAGCAAGGAAATTCCAGGAAAACATCTATTTCTGCTTCACTGACTGTGCTAAACCCTTTGTGTGGATCACAACTAACTGTGGAAAATTCTTAAAGAAGTGAGAATACCAGACCACCTTACCTGCCCCCTGAGAAACCTGTATGCAGATTAAGAAGCAATAGTTAGAATCAGACATGAATAATGGGCTGGTTGCAAATTGGGAAAAGAGTATGTCAAGGCTGTATATTGTCACCCAGCTTATTTAACTTACATGCAGAGTGCATCATGTGGAATGCTGGGGTGGATGAAGCACAAACTGGGATCAGGATTCCCAGGAGAAATATCAATAACCTCAGATATGCAGATGACGCCACTCTCATGGTAGAAAGTGAAGGAGAAGTAAAAGAGCCTCTTGATGAAGGTGAAAGAGGAGAGTGAAAAAACCTGGCTTAAAATTCAACATTCAGAAAACTAAGATCATGGCAAATAGATGGGGGAACAATGGAAACAGTAGGAGATTTTGTTTTCTTGGGCTCTAAAATCACTGCAGAAGATGACTATTGCCATGAAATGAAAACACACTTGCTGCTCAGAAGAAAAGTTATGAGAAACCTAGATAGAATATTAAAAAGCAGAGATATCACTTTGCCAACAAAGGTCCATATTGTCAAAAAACCATATGGTTTTTCCATTAGTCATGTACGGATGTGAGAATTTGACCATAAAGAAGGCTGAGTGCTGAAGAATTTATACTTTTGATTTGTGATGCTGCAGAGGACTCTTGAGAGTCCCTTGGACTGCAAGGAGATCCAACCAGTCCATCCTAAAGGAAGTCAGCCCTGAGTATTCATTGGAAGGACTGATGCTGAAGCTGAAACTCCAGTACTTTGGCCACCCAATGTGAAGAGCTGACTCGCTGGAAAACAAGCTGATGCTGGGAAAAATTGAAGGCAGGAGGAGAAGGGGACTACAGAGGATGAGATGGTTGGATGGCATCACTGACTTGATGGACATGAGTTTGAGCAAGTTCCGGGAGCCAGTGAAAGACAGGGAAAACTAGTGTGCTGCTGTCTATGGGGTCGCAAAAGGTAGGACACAAATGAGTGACAGAACACAGAAATTAAAGAAGTGCTTTTTGGCAAGTAGTTAATTATGAATTTTTAAGGCTTGGCTGAAGCTTTGCTATGGCAAGTGTAAAGTAGCTTTTACTCTAGGTCTAATTTCACTCTAGTACTAAATTAAATGCAAAATTTCTCTTAATTGTGGGAGCTCTGGGGGGTATTCCTCTTACAAATCCCTTTAATTACTTTCTCAGTTCATGGAATTTCATCAAGTACATGCAGCTTTATTATTCACCAACAAACTCCATGGGACCCTTATCCAAAATTTTTAGGTTTTTCACTTTCTATGTCCATTCTGTTTCACATACTGTCCCTAAGAACATAACCACTTCAGTTTACCAGTCTCCAATCTCCACATCCTTCACCAGGGAGACTGCTGTGCTATGCTTGTACTTCCCTCTTTTAACTGTGGTCCAGAAGTTCTGTTCAGATCAGTTGCTTGGTTGTGTCCGACTTTTTATGACCCCATGAACTGCAGCATGCCAGGCCTCCCTGTCCATCACCAACTCCTGGAGTTCACCCAAACCCATGTCCATTGAGTTGGTGAAGCCATCCAACCATCTCATCCTCTGTTGTCCTCTTCTCCTCCCACCTTCAGTCTTTACCAGCATCAGGGTCTTTTTCAATGAGTCAGTTCTTCGTATCAGGTGGCCAAAGTATTGGAGTTTCAGCTTCAACATCAGTCCTCCCAAGAACACCCAGGACTGATCTCCTTTAGGATGGACTGGTTGGATCTCCTTGTAATCCAAGGGACTGTCAAGAGTCTTCTCCAACACCACAGTTCAAAAGCATCAATTTGTTGGTGCTCAGCTTTCTTTATAGCCCAACTTTCACATCCATACATGACCACTGGAAAAACCATATCCTTGACTAGATGGACCTTTGTTGACAAAGTAATGTCTCTGCTTTTTCAATATGCTGTCCAGGTTGGTCATAACTTTCCTTCCAAGGAGTAAGCATCTTTTAATTTCATGGCTGCAATCACCATCTGCAGTGATTTTGGAGCCCCCCAAAATAAAGTCAGCCACTGTTTCCACTGTTTCCCCATCTATTTCCCGTGAGGTGATGGGACCAGATGCCATGATCTTAGTTTTCTGAATGCTGAGCTTTAAGCCAACTTTTTCACTCTCCTCTTTTACTTTCATCAAGAGGCTCTTCAGTTCCTCTTCACTTTCTGCCATAAGGGTGGTGTCAT